GCATCTGCATCAGGGCAATCCCAGGCACAGCTACAGGTTGGGTAGAGATGATTCAGAGCAGCGCTGTGGAGAAGGAACTGGGGATGTTGGTTGACAAGAAACTGCACATGAGCTGGCAGTGAGTGTTCAGATGCCAGAAACCAATCATATCCTGGGCTGCATCAAAAGAAGCGTGACCAGCAGGTCAAAGGAGGTGATCCTGCCCCTCTGCTCTGCTCTTGTGAGACCCTGCCTGGAGTACTGTGTCCAGAAATGAGGCGTACAACGAAGAAGGATGTGGACCTGCTGAAGCATATCCAGAGGAAGGCCATGAAGATGATCAGGGGGCTGGAGCACCTCTCCTATGGAGACAGGCTGAGAGATCTGGGGTTGTTCAGAAGAGAAGGCTTTGAAGAAACCTTATAGCAGCCTTCCAGTATCTAAAGGGGGCCTACAAGAAATCTGAGAGGGACTTTTTACAAGGGCATGTAGTGAAAAGACAAGGGGAAATGGCTTTAAACTGAAGAAATTCATTATTGTGAGGGTGGTGAGACACTGGCACAGGTTGACCAGAGAAGTTCAGATGCCCCAACCCTGGAAGTGTTCATGGCCAGGCTGGGTGGGGCGTTGAGCAACCCGGTCTAGTGGAAGTTGTCCCTGCCCATGGCAAGGGGTTTGGAACTAGATGATCTTTAAGGTCCCTTCTGACCCAAAGCATTCTAAGATTAAATCATTCTAAGATAAAGAATGACAAGACCTCTTCTTAAAGTGGTATGCTAAAATGTTGGGGTTTGGTGTTGTGTTTTTTTTTCAAGCAGGTGATATATTTGCTAAGTTGAGAATGTTACATTTAATTACTAGTTGCTAAATATCACTTACAGATGAATAAAAGACAATCTGGTTGATTTAAAAGAAGGAAGTTTGAAATAATTTCCATTGCATACTACCTTTCATGTGTTTTACAAGTGTTCATTTAAGTGCTTGTTTTGCACTAACAGTAATGCAAGATTAAACATAAACTCAGTGTCTACCCAGTCACCATTGACAGAAATGTTCAGCCTTTTAACAAAGTACTAGAATAGAAAGCATATCTCAAAGGAACTTTCACAAAGTTTGGGAGAAAAGAGGATGACATTCAGTCCACCATTTGGAATTCCTTTACTTGCTAAGATCCTCCTTGATTCACCAAATTCATACATACATATAGGCGTAATCTATATAATTAGATATAATAGACATAATTAGATAAAATCTACTGTGATACTCATTTCAGGATGTCCACATCCCAGACACATTTACTTGTACTCTCTCTAGCTGCATGAGTTGGGAAAAAATTTTCAGTTGTTTTGACATAGGCTTTTGCAGAAATTAATTTTATGGTCATAAATCACCTCTGATTACTTTAATAGGGTCATTTCAAATGTGAAGATGTCTTTGTAAGTTCATAAATTTTCTTGATAATTTTATGCCTGTGGCTTGTATATCGTAATTCTGACAATTCATGCAAGTAACGTTATGTCATAAATTACCACATTTATTTTTGGCATGAGTCTCAGTACTCATGAACACTGCCTCTATTATTTAAATGTGTAACATATCTGAAACACAGGATTCAATATCTAAGATATAAGAATACTTAGAAAAAGCCTAATGCTTAGACAAGGGATGAGGACTGGAATTCTGATGATTTGGGATGCAACTCTAATTAAAAGAGGAAAAAATCCATGATGTCCAACTCTTTGAAGCATTATTGAAAGCTCAGTTTAAAAACAATTTCCCACATCAAGCCTTAGATTGCAATACCTTATGCAAAATTTCTAATGACACAGAAGTGTTTCAGTTAATATTTAGCTTGTTATAGAAGTGTAAAGAAAAATTAGCAAATACTAACTTACTTTAAAATTAGTCTGGATGAAGAACTCTCCCTGACAAAATCTATAATGTTTAAGATAAAATCTATATAATGTGAACTATTAATATTTTGTGTCGTATTCTGTGGAATAGCCATTAGGTTTGATTATAAACCAGATGGTATGAAAAATATTATGAACATACCACACTGCTACTGAACATAATTAGTTCTCAGGTTTTTAAACTTGCAAACACTTATGTTTTTCCATCTGAGTAGGTCCACTGAAATCAATCATATATATCAAATACAATTAAAGCAATTTATACAGATTACATACCAAATCAAATCACATAAGATTAAACACCAAGTGCCTAGCAAATAAAACACTTTCTCCAACAAAACTAGCCCATGCGATACAAAGTGACTGCATATTTTTTATATAATAGGCTGCAGCTTAATCATTTCAACCTTTAATTACTGCATCAGATAATGAATATTTTGAACATATGCTTCTCCACTCTGTTAGAAGACACAAATGAAAGAGAAACAAGTTTATATGCATGCTACTGTGTGTGCATGCTGGGGGAGGGAGAAGCACGCTAAACAGCAAAAGGAACCAGTGGCAACAATTGGAGGAAATGGTATCTGTAACAGCTGCTCCTTTCAGATTCCCCTAGAAGGAGACTGCCTGAGGTGGACCACAGCACAAAAGGATAAAGAAGATGAAAACTGATGCAAAGCAGGAAAATAACTGCTGAGACCCCTGAGTCTACACCCGAATAGTCCCAAGCTGTGTGGCAAGACCTCTTTAGCATGCTACAGAAGCTGGTGATGAACTACATATTACCATGAGGCAAACTGGCTCCTAGCAGTATTGTCTGCATGTTATGTGTAATGATAACCAGTAGTCCTCTGGGAACAGGATGCAATGATTTCATCTCTGTAAGCATCTGAGCTCCCCTTGGATACAGAGACCATTAAACTGAGAACAGAAGGGTAAATTTTAGGCAATGATTTCCAACTGGATAGTGAAGACAACTTGTACTCAACAGCACTGTCAACCACTGATATTTTATTGCTGTCTATATTGATCAGTGTGAAGGACAAAAGGAACTAAAATTATATCCCTTCTTCTAAGCCCCATAACACACACCATTTTTTCTGGAAGAAAGTACTTCAGAGGTTTTTCATATTAGGAAATCCCATTATAACATAATACAATAATGTATAATATTATTTACACTGAAATGTATTTGTGTTTTCATTACTGTTAAAATAACATTTTATACTCCTAACATAAAGTATCATTTATATTTTGTACTACAGAGTCTTTTTTTCCTCTTTTTCACATTGCTTTCCTTAACTGTCAGGTGTTTTTGTAAGACCAAACCCAATAGGCACAACCTATCATGTATATATTTTAAATTAATTGTAGTACATTACAAAACTAAAGTTTTTAGAATCTTTCTTAAAAAAATTTAAAATCTGCATATGACAAAGAGAAATTGATCTTCCAAATGACTGCTGTATTTTTTTGGCAGGAGCAAAGGGGGAGCAATGCAGGGGAAGGAGTAGCTACAAAATATAAGCAAAATGGATCCTGAGGAGATAATGCCAGAACATGTAATATTTCGGGCACTTTCAAGGGTGGTTTGATCCTTTGCATATCACAGAGACTGTGCAGTCTTGTTCATTAATTAATTTCTCCTGTGATGGAGAGTTCAAATATGTGCTCAGGCTTCTTTATTTAGCACATTTGTTATCTTGCTGCTCGTTATCACTCACACAGTTTATTGCAACTCTCAGAAACTTAATGGATAAGTTGATCAGTTAAGAATGCTGGCACACTTGGCAGTCAAAAAACAATGAAGATAAAGTTCAGTACAAAAAATTCTAGTCTTATCTCTTGTACTGTATTCTTGGAATAGACCAAATAATCTTCTTCTCAATGCTGCTGCAACTGTTAAATATCATTTTATAAAATTATATGTAGCTTTTAAAATTCTGAAATATTTGCACATTCAGCTACGGACTTCAACTACAACTGAAGTAAGAACAGGCTCCCACTTCCCAGCATTCAGTTGATTTATATGGAAGATAGGCATATCGGCGTTGAGGAATTATATGTAATCAATAACTCTTAGAAACATTCGTATCACAAACTGCTAAAAGCATGTAGGAAGATATTTCAAGACAGAAATCTAGAACCTTTCCTATACTGCAGAGGCCAAGCAAGAAATACTGAAAGTCATGCTGAATTTATTCTGTGACTTCTATTGGCCTTTTTCTGAAAAAAATAACCACCAGAAAAAAATAACCTCAAAGAATGACCTCTATAGAACGTGTTCATTAATACAATACCAAGTCATTCTGAAGTTATAGGAAGAAACAGAAATAGCAATTATCCAGCTGATTAATTGCAATAATAATGGGAAAAATATTCAAATAAATTAATTTTTCACACAACATTTTTAAGAGGATAATGGAGGACTGTAAATTCTCTGACAACTGGCACAGACAAAGTCAAGTTGCTGCTTATCTTTCCCCTCATACTAACCTACAGTGAACTAGAGGAACCCTCCTTTGAGACTGGAATTCCACGTGTAGAATTCTCATTCTGTTAGAATTATTATGTATGGGATACTCAAGGGAAACATGAGGAGCTTGAATTGAAGTATCAACTGAGGGGATTGCATCTTTTTTGCATTACAGATTTTCATACCAAAAGTGATTCATGTTTCTTTTAAATTCCTGATGTTCTGAAAAGCTGAACATGTGAATTGACATATTTTTATTTGTTGCTCACAAATATGTTGCATCAAACTAGCTTGCAAAACTGGTGTTTTATACCAAAACCCTAACTAAAGAGTAGCTGGTTTATATACGTATGAGTAGAGGAAAAGGAAAGCTATTCACATATAACCTGAATTATAAATATATATTATTTCTACAGATCCATGCACGGAAACCTGGACTCCATCAGTTCTGGAATTTATTTGAACCTTAACTGCTTAAGCCACATGGATCCCTGTTTACAGATCTAGATACTGTTATAAAAGGTCTGTGGGCCAAGTCTCTCCAAGTCTTTTCCACTCTCCAAAATGCCTAAGATGACAAGGAGTCAGAAAAAGGCATTGGGAAAGCTAAAACAACTTTAAAATAAACTTACTGATAACGCTTTCTGGTTTTCTCCAGCAAAATAATATGCTAAACTTAGGCAATATGTAGCTTCTCCTTGGATCTTCATTTCACCTACTAAAGAAAGGATTAAAGTTACACTTTACCAGCATAATCTGTACAAATTACATTAGTACAGACAGTTCTTGCAGGTTCAAAAATAACATGCAGATGTTTAAATACTACATTAACTATTCCCTTCTCCTCACCGTTGCCAATTATTTATTTCCCAAAATGTATATTGACACTTAAAAGTAGATGCAATGGATTTAAGCAGAGTTCAACAAGAAAGTTCAGCAAAGTCAAAGAAAATATCTTCCAGTAAGTAATGCAGTACGATCAATGTAACACACTATAATTGTCTCTGTCAAGAGTTGCTTAATAACAGTGTCTTCACGTTAGAAAATCACACTAGCCTCTCTCTGTATATTAATATACAAAATTAAAGTAGCTATTGATATATAACAAAAAATACAAACACAAAATATGTTGACCCATACACTTTGCTGATGTGAAACTTCATGAAATACCAAGACAGAACTACCAGTAGATAACCTTCATATTTTTTATTCTCATGGTCATTTTGCAAGCTACTGTAGGGTGGAATAGCTTAAAAAAACCCCAAAAACTTACACTTGCAAGCAGAAGTCATAGAAAATTCTGCGCAGGCAGTTGCTTATTGAGGTGCATCACACTTTTCCATGCCAGATTTTATTTCAGTAATACTGATCTAACAAACACTGCTTGCTGGTCTTTTTATATTGCCCCCTCAATAGAAAATCATACATTCAGTACTGAAATTTACATAAAGCAATTATATAACTGCTTACTGTATTACACTATATTCAAAAATTTCTCTCCAGAACATGAGTATCCATTAAAAAAAAAAAAAAAAAGTAACAAAACCTCAGTCTTTCTATTGTTCAAAATCCATCCTGTCAAATGAAATAAAGAGTGGAAAAATCAAGCTGAAGCATAACTACATATTAAGATATTTTGTAAAGTGCATAAATACAGTTGCAATGAAATGGGAGATTATCTATTTACGGTATCTACTAATAATTTCTTTATGTTCAAACACATAGAAGCCTACATCTAGTTCTGGAACTTTTTGAATTATATAATTGCTGAGGCTACAGTAGTGCTTGACCTAATACATTATAAAAATTATGAAAAGTCTGCAAATCAAAACCCTGATGGTATTTTCCAGTGTTCAATAACCCTTAAAAGGCTTAATGAGGCAAAAAAGAAATACAGATGATCAGCGGGATAATAAATGAAAATTTGCTAGGGATATAAAACACTTCCTTCCTCACTTAAGAACAGTCTGAGAGTCTGAAGTGGATAACATCTAATCCCAATTCATAAAATACATAAACACAGATGATGGTCCAGAAGGAGACAAATAGATATTACAAATAGTAGCCAGAGTCAGTATGGGTTTTGTAGGTAGAGGTTATGGTTCTGGAATGGGGACTAGACAACTCATCTGAAAGAAGCTTTTAAAGCTTTATATTTAAAAGAACAATGGCAAGTATATTCTGCACACATTATTAAATTTAAAAACCTAATGTGATAAATATTGAAGTAATATTATATAATATTTTTATGGGCAATTCATACGCAAAATATGTCCCTTAAGGTATACCATGAAAGGTTCTTGAACTGGTGTCATTGGAAAAACATGATCACTTGAAACCTCCTATCTTCTGAAAAGCACTCCAATAATCATCTTGGATAACCATAGGAAAAGTAAGCCTGTAGAAGTGGACATTTAACAGCCTCTTTTAAGAAACAAGGACTATTAAGATTTCTTAAAAAAATCTGGAAAATTATAAGTATTTTCATAAAGTCAACTTGTAAGATTTGCCCTCTCTTTTCTGTTCTCTCTCATGTGTAAGAAATGTTTCAAAGCAATTTCTAGCTGATCAACTTCTCACACTATATATAACATTCAAATGCTATTCTATTTTCCCCCAGTTTTAAACCTATCCAAACCTACGTAGAAGGAGCTTCATACAGCCCTTATTTAGAACAAGAAGGCAATCAGGGGTAGTCAGCACAGATTTAATACAGGCAATTTGTTCTTCCCCAACCTGATAGCCTTCTACAATAAGATGATTGGCTTGGTAGATGAAGGAAAAGCAGTGGATTTTGTTTCTCTCAATTTTAGCCAGGCTTCTGTCAGTATCTCCCATAACATCTTCATATACAAGCTGAGACAGCAATGCAACCTCAAAGCAAAAGCAACCAATAGGATCGTCCATCAGGCAGAGTGTTGCAAGCAGATTTTGGGGAGGTGATCCTTTGCCTCTGCTCAGCACAGATGAGGTCACCTCAAGAGTGCTGTGTCCCATGCTGGGCTCCCAGCACAAGAGAGAGAGGGACAACGTGCAGCAAATCCAGCAAATGGCTGTAAAGATGATGAAGGGACTGGAGCATCGGTCCTTGGAGGAGAGGCTGAGGGAGCTGGGACAGTTGAGGCCACAGAAGAGAAGGCTCAGAGGGGGTTCTTATCAGTACTTCTTAGGCAGTAGTTTATTTACTACTGGATGGAACCAGGCTCTTCTCAGTGGTGCTCAGTGACAGGACAAGAAGCAATGAACAAAACTGGAAATTCCATCTGAGCTCAAAAAAACCCCAACTTTTTTATTGTGAGGGTGTTTGAAGAGTGGAAAATATTTTCCAGAGCAGTTATGGAATCTCCACCTGTGGATGTATTAAAAACTTAACAGGATGTAGTCTAGGGCAGCCTGCCCTAGCTGATTCTTATGATCTCCGAGGGTATCTCCCTACCTTAGCTATTCTGCAATTCTGTAATTTTTTCTTTAGTATTAAGATATATGGAAGAAATTTTGTTTTTTTATGATAGAAAACTGGTATTTCTCAAGTACTAAATACATATGTAGAGTGAAAAGATGGTGTTCCAGCAGCTAGCAGCACTCAAAAATTGCCAAACCAACAGTGACTTCCCAATCAGAAAATCAGTGGGCTGAGCTTTTGTCAGTGACTTTACTTCCTGATTATGACTTCACTGTTGTACACTATTATTCCCAGAAGGTGGGTTTGTTTGGTGTTTTTTTGGACACTAAGCTTTCAGGAACCTAAAGGTTCTTTGTTGTCTGCAAGAAGGCTTTTCTGCTTTAGTAAGATCTGGAAGTGTATTGATAGCACTGGTCTTTGCATTTCATAAGAAATAATCACCCAGTCAAACACTTGACAGTTTCTACTTTACTCTTGGGAAAATCATAACATGCATGCCAAATAAAGCAGTGGGAAAGTGTTATTTTCCACCTACCATTTTTTGCCATTTTTAAAGCTTTTTTTAGTGTTTTGATGGCCTGTTGGTGTTCATTATTTTCTAGCATTTTGTCTGCTAGTAATGTATAAATTCTCCAGAGATACTCAGATGCCAGTGAATTGTAAGTACGGCCTGTCACATCCTTCCATGTTGAACCAAGCGTTAGATGATAAAATGTTTCATAATACTCAGCAGCTTTCAAGACATGACCTGAAAAATGTAATTTGTAATTACAATCAGCATAATCAATACAAGTTTTAAGTTATTAACTTAGAATAATATTCGCATTAGAAATAAGCTATAGCAAACCATATCAAAATTTTTCAAGAAACTTCAATATATAACTTACTAGAAAATTTCCTGCCTAGAAAATACTGCCAAATCTCACAGTTACCAGTAATTCTGTAATTTAAATGTATCATTATTTAAATTATCTTTTCTTTGTAGAGTCACAATGTTGGGGGTGTGTGATCCCAAAGATGCAAAGTCAGAAGTTTCTGGAAAATACACCTATCGTAGATTCATTAATATACCTTTTCTGGATCATATATTTCAAAATCGCATCTATGCAGAAGTAATCACAATTCAAACTGTTCCTCAAGTTTCTTCTTTCATAACAAAAACCTGTGCTGAAAGATTTGAGATGTGAAAAATAGAGGGGGGGGGAAGTCTTCATTCAAATAAATTAATTGCTAAAAAAAGAATTATGCAAAGTAATTTATTCAACAGTTGTTACTAGGCCAACTCTGGTTATAGTAAACTTAATGGAAAAATATCAACCACTAATAGATTAATTATTGATATTCAACTAAGACTTCGCTTTGAGGTCTTCAAATATAAGTTATTCAAACATCTTTAAGGCAAACAAAAGTCTGAAGATAAAGTTCAATTCATTTCATCATGTAAGTAGTTTTTTCCTCCCCTTTACCTTCAGCTAGACTTATCTCCATGTAGACATGCAATGTAGAAGATTTCCATGTTTCCTAGACAATGGAAATTCAATGCCCTTTGAAAGAACAGAACAACTTTTCTTTATACATAATAGGTGCAGAAAAACTGCTGAGAAGCAGGTAAGATCAGACATCTTACATTAATAAATGTTACACAAAGAATGTTCTATAGCTGGGAGAACTGTGAATGTCACTCTTGCTCCTTAAGTTTGTTTATGTGTGATGGAGGAATCCTGTTCCATAGATCATTAATATATCAGTTGCTATTTCTTTTAATAGCTGAAAAAAGCCATAAACTAAGTTTGTATAGACGCGTTTGCAGTTTATACCTCTTCTGAAACATATTTTATAAGAAACAGTTTCTGTTTTGCTGTTTTTACAGTGCTGAATTCAAATTACAAAAAGAAGCAAGGAGAAAAGTTGTTTCCCAGCTGTGAGAAAGAAAGTGAGAGAAGCTTGAAGAAGGACATTTTTTAAGGATTCTGAGAGAAAATGAGGCTAATTCCCGAAGCCTCCAGCCAACCTAGAGGCAGCAGAAGAGTTATGACAGATCCCTCCCATTAACTTAATTTAGATTTGTGTTTTGCATATGCTACCATTTTATAGCCATGCTTTCAATTTTGCAATGAAACATAACCCTTATCTTTATTAGAGCTAAATTTATTTTCCTACTAAGCTTCTTTGATGATTAAAATGAATTCAACTAAAACTGAGATGTGCAAGAAACTTTCAAAGAAGCAACTAAGAGTTTAATAGAAAAATCATTTTCAGGCTCTATGACCTATGATCCATGTAAGTCCCAGAGGACACACCAAAAAGTGAAGTGCCAGGTGAAAAGGGAGGCAACAGGTTTTATTCAATTTCACTCTATCTAGGGAAAGGTATCAGAAAGATGGTACAAAATGTTGGAAGTAAAAGCATATTGTTATCAGACCCTGTAAACAGACAGGGAAAGATCAATACATTATTTCAAAAATGTCACAGACTTCATATCAGGCTGAACAAACAGAAATGCAAAGTGAAATTGTCATGACCAGTACAAGCTGTTTAAGGATTCACTGACAGTTCACATAGCAGGAAATAGAGATGCAGACTTGCTAAACCCAGTTGAAAACTTTTCCGTTCTAAAGAGGCTTCCAATTCGAATTTGTGTTTCTGCCTATTGAGTCCAGTTAACTTTTTAGTGCAAGCCCAACCCAGAGGTCAACAGACTGCCAGTTATCCAAGTTGCTAAATGCAGATTTAAGATATTAATCAAAGAAGCTGGTGTTGGCTTGGTGACAAATGACAGAAAATTGAGTTGAAATATAGTGTTAATAGCTAGATCTAGTATTGTATCCACTTGAATCCTCATAAACACATAGAGACTTGTCCTTGGAATTCTCCCCAAAGTTTATTAATCAACTGATTGTCCTTTTGAAAGGGTATTCCTAAGTGATCTATTTTCACTACATGTGTGACTCTATTCCTTAGAATAGTAGAGTTTGATTCACATGTAACTCAAATACTTCTTGTAAGAATGGGAAGCAGCAAACAAATGAATGGTATCACCTGGACAAGAACTTTGAAGCTCAACACAGTATCCGAGTTTCTCCTAACATTCTCTAATATAATCTCTTAATGGAACATATCATTTAGGTAAATAATACGTGTGACCTTCAGAAGTATTATTTAGATTGTTAGAACTATTGGGTACGGTAATTCTTACCCATGCTTCCTCACTTGCAGTATCCCCTTGAGAAAGTTCCTGTCAGACTAGAAATTGAAGTCATATATTCCATGCACCCCATAGTTCTCAAGAGTTGACCTAACCATAAGAGCTGTGACCTGACATCCTTTTTGCCAGATCTCAGTGAAACCTTTTTAGAAACAATCCATCTACATCAAGGTTCAAAATACAAAAGCATCTTTTTGGTAGTATTCAATTGTAACTAAATTGCATTTGACTTCACTGAACTACCAAGAAAGGTTATGAGGTAAAAAGTAATACAATCTGCTCACAGAAATACTAAAAAGAAGACGCCGAGCAAAAAAAATACTTGCTAGTTTCCTAAATGAGGGAAAGATGCAATTCCTGACTTGAAAGCCCTTACGTGGTTGGGAATTTGTTTACTGAAGACTTCTGAAGTTATACTAGCTATTTGGAGACCTCTCAAATTCATGGAAGGTAAAACATTTTAGGGTTCGGATTTAATTTTGTCATCAAAATAGTCTGAAATCCTTTGTTCTCATTGGCAAATGAAAAATTACTTCTTTAATCCATAATGTTTACGTGAACTTCAAATGTTGTGGGGAGAAAGAAAAAGAAACATTGTCAGAAGGATGGCAAGTTCATTCACTGTCATGAGTCAATTCAGTTGGAATTACGGAACATTCTGAGAGTAAGATTATTTTTATCTCACTTGAGAAGTGACAAGGTAGACTTTTAACCGACTTCTTATCAATGGAAAAGAAAAAAAAAGGCAAAATGACAGGAAAAATAGTGAGTAGGAAAAGTTTGTAGAAATGCATCTTTTATACCTCTAGGAATTCAAAGAGGAAAATACAGAAGGTGTTTCTCAGAAATGTATATTTGAAATTTTTTTTTGCAAAGTGTTTCACAAACCAGTATAGCTATTTTCAGTTGGCAACATTGACAGCAATTGTGTATTTCTTTTCCCACTGGCACACAGAAATTAACTCAGCATATGCTAAATGGAGTTTGAGAATCTCTGATATCTTTTCCATGTTTATAAAAGGAATTTTAAAAACCCCAACAAACCACAAAACACAATGTCCCTCTTACATATATACATATATACTATATATACACAACATATATACTATCACTACAAAAATATTGTAGCTTTATATATCTTACAGCATAACAAAAGAAAACCTATCAGCAATAGTTCAATCTTAAGTAGGGGAGGTAAACATTGCCACAATATAATTTTGGGAGTAAAGAATCAGTTTTAAACAATTATATGAATATAAGACATTACTCTGCCACTAACAGTATCAAATTTCAGAAATTACTCTTATTTTCATACCAAATACATATGTATGGACAAAGATTTGTGCTACAGTTTCCACTGAGTTGCTTAGAAGTCAAAAAAATAAATCTATTCATTCAAGCAAAAGAACTTGGTGTAATTTTTTAAATACTGAAGAGAAACATTTTTACATTATCTAAACCTTCCCTTTATAATTCCCCTCCCTAAAACCCAGTTCAAAATTATACATTTGTTATATCAAAATAAATATCAAACCTAAAGGTGGATACATGGAGACTACTATTTTGCCTTTTTTTTTTTTTAAGTAGAAAGATTGACTAGATATTAACACAAATGGGTTTAAATGTGAAGCTGCCATAAAAGCAGGCACATAAATGTAATTCTCCCAGCTGCTATTTTGATGCACATTTTTGATTCCATGAATATTTTATGAAATGGACCAAACTAAAGCCATATAACATTCCTGCATTACTGATGCTTGCGCCCGTAAGCTACAAACATTAGAGGCATGATTGAGTGCATTAAAATGAACTCATTCAGCAGTGCATTGATTACTTGAAGGAGAAAAAAAAAAAAAAAAAAGGAAGTTACTCCCACTTAAGAAAACAGCACACAAATTTGAAGTTTTCAATACTAAAATTAAAGATAACAAATTTTAATAATGCGGTATTTAATAAATAAAGGCAGCGCAAAACTATCTCAAATTCTCTATATACAGTCCTGATATTAATTAGATGCAATGTTAATTAGGTCCACAGATTGCTTCCAGTAGTGTACAGGTAATTTAAAATGTCACAATCTGCAAAATGCAGTGACTGACCTGGTCTAGCTCCATGCCTCAGCAATACTAAGAGCACCTAATGATTTCCTTTTCTATCAGCTTGTATATTCACCACTGAAAATAATGCCACAGAAACCACCACACAAAAAAGTGACAGGTCTGCTGGGTACATTTCTTCAGCAGCAGTAGTATAAGCAGAAAGCACATTAAATTCTAAAACGTAAACAGTTGTTGAGGACTTTAGAAAATACTTAAATTTAGCTTAAAACAACAACCCAAAGGAACAATAAATCTTTATGTATATTATAGTATATTTCAACCTAAAACTAGATCTTTTTAATCAGTTATTTCACCGTGCAACATGGACATAAAATCTGCTTGAAGCAACAGTTAACAGTAGTAAAAAAGAAAAATGTTATTACTGTTTTAAAATATATGACTTACATTTTAGTTTAACTGCTTGAACTACTTATTTTTAGTTTC